AATATAATAAATTAAAAATACAGAATGCAACTTTAAGTGTTAGGAGACAATCATGGTGATCAAAAATATCGTCCAGGAGGCAGAGCTTGACACAGACCTGTTGAGGTCAAGAGTAAGAAGTTGCAGGGAGAGCATTCCAGGCAGTAGGAGTAGCATGACCCAAAACGTAACAGCAGGGATAAGAAATAGGAAGAGACATTTAGAGATGGAGCAGACCTCAGAAATTATCTAATCTCAGCCCCTTAATTTGGCTGAGGAAGACATAGAAGTCCAAAGACATTAATTGATTTTGCCCAGGGAACAAAGGTAGCAAATAGCAAAGCTGAGATGTGAACTTGGGGTGTTCTGATCTCACATTCAGTGAAGTTTCCACAACATCACAATGTCTGGTTGAGTTGGCAAGTCTGCAAGCTGTGTTGTTTCGCCATTATGTGATGTAGTGACATGAAGACACAAATCTGATTAGAGTGGAAGGGTATGGACCGGAGAGTGGTGGAAGATAAGGCTAGATTGATTTTATTTCCTCTCTTAGAAGAACAAATGCCAATCACAGAAAATAAAATAAATTATTATACCGTATTATTGCATATGCCTTTTATTAAGAAAGGAGTAATGTTACTCAAAGCAATAGTCATAAGAATCTATCAAAATATATATACAAAGATATGTAGTAAAAATTAAATATGTACATATCATCAATAAAATGTCAATATATATTATTCTCTGAAAAAATACTCATCATATCAAGGTTACTTAGATAAATTTTACTATGTACATAAAGGTCAAAATTAATTTTTCACTAAAGTGAAAACTGTTCCGGCAGCTTGTATTCCTCACTCTCTTAACATTGTCTTACATTTACCTCTCTGGACACATTGCATCTCTCAGGGGAATGTAAGTTCCTATAAGACCAGTACTATGTTTGGTTTCTGTCTTTTCATCCCTGATTCTTTGAACAGAAGAGGCCCTCAGCAAATGCTTTTCCAATTGAATTGAATGGAGATTGACATTTCATTTTCAAGCTGTTCTCTCTCTGTCGACAGTTTCTGCTTCATGGAGCTCTTTGGTTTGTGGCTTGTGTGCATCACTGCTCCCTTTAAGAAAAGTAAGCACCCTTCTGTTCTCTTGGGCATCTGTTAGTGTCCCAGTGTCAGATGTGAAGCATATCTTATAGCCCTGAAGATGCCCTTTCCCCCCACTCAGTGCAGTATAATGGAAGCTTAAGAGTCATTGAATTGTTTAGTGAAAGAAATGAAATGTTAATTGGGAATCCTGCTGTATTTTTTTATATTGCACAAAATATATTATTATACTAGTTCTTTGTCTGAAGTTTTCTGCTGAGCAGTAAAAAATAAAAATCCTCACAAGTTACTGCAACAGAGGACACCAGAAGATTAGGTATTTTGTTGTTCAGCACGTGTAATCTGTTCCAGAATAAAGGCAGATGCATGCATGTCCAGGTAGTTATCAAGTAGCTTTTATTGTGAATTATCATCTTCTGTTGCATTGGTTTGCTTCTCTGGCTACTGGTGCCTGCAATGGAGTAGAGCAGAATTCATGGTCCCTTACTCACGGTGCCATAGCTTTGCCAGGACAAATACGGTAGCTTCTGGCATGGAGATAGATCAGTGTGAGCAGATAAACACTTGGTGAATGCAAGTGGAAGGTGATCAAATCATGGGGCTTCTTTGCCATCACAGTTGTGTCAGTGCCCATTAGCATTCATGTTCAAAATTTTCCTCCAGCAATTGCTAACATCGGATATCATTTTTTGTATTAAGCATAAACACTTATTCTGTTTTTTTCGTTCCTTGGAAGATTTTTCTCCCTATAATGACAAATGGAAATTTCGATAGCTCTCATCTTCACATGAAACACAATTAAATTATTTGTTGTTGTTCAGTTGTTTCAGTTGTGTCTGATTCTCTGTGACCTCATTTGGGGATTTTTTGGCAAAGATATTGGAGTGGTTTGCCATTTCCTACACCATCTCATTTTACAGATGAGGAATTGAGGCAAACAGGGTTAAGTGACTAGCTCAGGATAACACAGGTAAAAAGTGTCTAAGGCCAGATTTGAACTCAGGAACACGTGTCTTCCTGGCACACTGCACCATCTAGCTGTCTGTGATTAAATTATACATGCATATTTGTCTTAAATTTTTTTCCCCTTTTCTCACATTATCATGTAAAGGCAGCTAGGTCATGCAGTTGGAGTCATGAAGACCTGAGCGCCAATCCTACTTCAGATACATAATAGCTGTGTGACCCTATGAGAGTTGCTTAACCTCTCTCACCCTCACTTTTTCATTTGTAAAATGGGAATAATAAGCACTTACCTCCCAAGGTTATTGTGAGGGTCAAATGAGATAACATATGTAAAGAGCTGGGTAAAACTTAAGGTTCTCTGGAAATGCTAGCTAATTTTTTTATCTTTGTATCCCTAGTAACAACAATAACAACAACAACAAGAGGTAGTAGTATTATTACTATAGTTAGCATTTGTGAAGAATTGTAAGGTTTGCAAAGACCTAAGAAGGAAAAGGAATAGGAATGGGGACTAGCACTGCGATTTCATTGATATAGGCAACACTCAGGTGAAGAAATTCCTCTTGCTTTGCAACTAAAATCATATATACATATACATATATATTCATACATATACATATATGCACATATATATGCACATATGGTTACAGATAGTCACATATATATGTGGGAGTGCATGCATGTAGTTAGAAAATTATATGTATGTGTGTGTATTGTGATGTGTATATGTGTATGTATTATATATGTTTGCAGAAGTACATAGGTAATCAGTCCTACCAAGGTACCAGTGAAAAACTGCTCATTTCCAGGAAAAGTCACACTAAGTATGGAGAAGTCAATTTCTAGGAGATCGGCCAGCAGGTGATATACATAAAAAAAAATTACACAAAAGTACCACTTTAAAGTTTATGTATGTATAAATTATATATATACACATATATATGTCTACATGTATGTATGTGTACACACATACATATACCGATATTTATAAATGTGTATTTGTGTACACACACACACACACACTTATCATAAATAAGGGCTGAATAGCTGAGAATGATCTTGGAGGAGGGAAGATTCTAGGAAGATGGTAGAGTAGGTCAGAAAACTTTAGGCTCTACAAATTTCCTCCAAAAAAAAAAACCCAGAACATCTCCTCAAAGTGATCACAGAGCAAAAGAAATATACAAAAGTCGGGGTAAAATAGGTGTCCTCTTAAACAATGTGAGAAGACCCTAGGAAAGATTGGACCTCCAAAGATGGAAGCTTGGCCTAAGTGAAATGCAAACACCTCCAGGCCAACTCCAGGGAATCAATAAACAACAAGTTCTGGGGGCAGCTGGGTTGGGAGGCAGCTGCAGCCTCAGGAACTTTCACCTCATGAACAGTGTGGGGGGGTTGGAAGGCTCAGCAGGAGAAGACTGAAGGACCTTCCACTGTCAAGGGCCACCAGAAACAACTATGCTGACCAGATGGGGTCTGGGTGCTGTTGTGGGGGAGAAGGAACTGGCACACACCTGATGAGTGGGGTGGAGCAGAGGGACATGGACTCTGCTGGCTGTAGGCAGTTGCAGGAGAGCAGAGTCCCTGGTTTTGGTTCCAGGGCAAAGTGAACAGTTGAAATTTGCAGCCTCTAGAAGGACCACAGGGAGTAAGAGCTTTTTACAGGACAGTGCAGCTAGGGGCCCCAGCTTTATGGGTGGAGAGGAGTGTCCAAGGCTGGGGCCCCAGACAGAGCTCAGAAAATAACAGTAAGAAGGATCTGAGGCCTGGGGCATAATTCCCCATACCTTCAGACTAGAACCTGAATATCAATAATAAGCTGCTAAAAATTAAACAAACAAACAAAAAGGATAAGCAAAGGAGTACACAGCAGAGAACAGAAAACCTAGAAGGAAGCACAGAAAAGCTGGGTTGCTTTGAAAACAAGGTATAGTATTACACAGGTTTTTGTGAAATGGAAATTTATTGCTTTATATTGACTCCTGTCATGTTCTGCTGTGTACATGTAAATGTTCTTTTTTTTCTCATTTTCTATTTAAATTTAAGATGAGTAAAAAATTTTTTAAAAAAAGAATAGTCATGGATGAACTGCGCAGGGCTGAAAGCTGCCACTAAAGGGGCAGAAGGGAGGGTCCCATGGGGGCTCTTTAGGGACAGAAGCAGGAAGTCATAGATCCAGATTTCTGTGGAAGGAGCAAAAAAGGCAAGGGATACATTCCACATTGGACCTACAGGAGGCTACAGGTTGGCAGACAAAAACCCTGAATACCATTAAAGGCCATGTTCATGATTTGTAAGGAGAAAAGTGTGGCTATTTTATGACCAATACCACATTAGGAAAAGTTCTCAGAATTTCTATCTTTGTATGAGGGGTCCTGAGCTAAGTCAGCTATGCTATGTAAACATCACTGCTATCACATTTTTTTCCTATGACACCAAAGATGAATGTTAAAAAATATAAAAATCAATGAGAAAGAGAAATTTGTCCTGTATTTTTGGGAACATATTCTTTTCTTTTGTCTTCCTTCCATGTTCTCTTTGTAATTTAAAAGCATAACCAGTCTGAGAAAGGTTGCTAAGTCACAGTCAGAAACTGACTTGAAAGCAGTGGATTTGACATGTACAATGTGGCATGCTCTCTGTGGGTTTGAGATGTCATAGGGGCACTTTTGGGGATGGACAGGGTGAATCCTGAAGGGTATAAAGAGTCTTCAGGTGGGCAGACTCTTTCAGACAGGTTGCTCGCTCCTCTCCATTTCACTTTTTAAAATTTCAAGTTTCAAAATAATGCGGTTCAAAAAGGGCTCCTCTTAATGAGGCAGGGTTCTCACCTCTTTTATAAAATCATACATAATTCTTTATAAATTATATGCAGAAAAACAAAGTTAAAGGAAACACAAGCATGGGTTTCTTTTGAGAAACTAGGATAAAAATAAGGATATTAACTCTTACCAGGATCTTGAAGCAGGGCCCTCCTGTCTTTTTCTCTGTTCCACTCACCTAGGGGAGAAAAATATGTCATGGTCAAGATGTGATGCAGGTTGTAAAAAAATTGTATGACAGAAACTGGTATTGGCCTTGAGTAAGAAGGTGAGAAAAAATGCAATTCAAAAAGTTCCCCTTTAATGAGGACAGTCTTTCAGGTCATAATGAAAACCACAAGGAATATGAATTATATACAGAAGAACAGAATTGAGGTGAAGCATGGACATGGATTGCTCTCTACAGGGAGTGTGATACAAGGCAACAGCAATGGATTTGGAGTTAGAGGACCAAGGTTCAAACCCCATTTCTGTTATTAATGACCTATGTGAACTTGGGGACGTCATTTGACCTCTGTGGTCATCTGTTTCCTCATCCAAACAAATGAGATGGGAGAGAAGGGTTAGCCTATTTGGCCTGTGAAGGCTTCAATTTATGATCTTATGAAGGAGGCTGAATAGAGAAGGAAAAGATCAATTCTTACTGTATTCTTGGTGGGGGAGACTTCACTAGTAAAATGGATTCTTCCTATCTTTCTTTCTGCTTTTTTTTCTTTCTCCTAAAAACAAGACAGAACCAAAATATGCCATAGTTAAGATACTGATGATCAAACTTTGATTTTTTTTTTTGTTGATCTTTCTCTAACTCTCAATGATAAGAATGGCATCTCATATTAGTTTAATTCAGTCCTGATGATAGAATGCTAACTTACATGGCTTCCTATCACCTCTAGGGTCAAATAAAAAGATCCCATTTGGCATTCAAAGCCCTTCATAACCTAGCCCCCTCCCTCCTTTCCAATCTTCTTACACCTTACTCTCCAACACTTACTCTTTGATTCAGTGATACTGGCCTCCTTGCTGTTCCATGAACAAGATACTCCATCTCTTGGTTCACAGCATTCTCTCTGCTTGTCCTCCATGCCCGGAACTTTTTCCCTCCTCCCCCTTGACTACTGACCTTCCTGAGCTTCTCTTAAGTCCCAACTAAAATCCCACCTTCTACAAGAAGCCTTCCATCAACACTTTTTAATTTCAGTGCCTTCCCTTCCCCAACTCCTCTTAATTCCAGTGCCTTCCTATTATTTATTTCCTATTTATCCTCTATGTAGTCTGCTTTTAACATATTTGTTTGTATATTGTCTCCATCCATTAGATTGTAAGATCCTTCAAGGCAGGAACTGTCTTTTGTATCTTTTTGTCTCCCCATTGCTTAGCACAGTACCTGAAACATAGGAGACTCTTAATAAATGTTTATTGATCAATGTTGGAAACAGACCAGTGAAGAAAAGTAGGAAAAGAACTTAATCGCTTGACACACTCATCCCACTATTATTTAATGACAGTAATCAGTGAATTATTTATTGATCACTCAGGTTGTGCCCAGCACCGTGATAGGTAAAATAAGTATTTCCTGTGAGTTACATAGAAGAATTATAAGATGTGATCTCTGGTTGCAAACCAATTGGAGTCCAGTTAGAGCGGCAACTCTGAGTCACATAAAATAAGAAAACAATTCCAGAATGGATTCTGAGGTACTAACATCCTTCCAGCTAAACTTACCTAAATTTTATTTTTATTTTTGTGTTAAATGGGATTTACTTTCCTATTACATCTTCTTGGACTTTTTAAAAATTGTTATATAGAGATGGCTATGGTTTTTGTGGATTTATTTTATGTCTTGTTACTTTAATGAAGTAATTGCTTCAGTGAGTTTATTTACTGATTTTCTGGGTTTTCTAAGTAAATTATCATGTCATTTGTAAATATCAACAATTTTGTTATCCCTTTGCCATACTCTTAATTTTTTCCTCTCCTTTATTACTATTACTAGCATTTCTAGAACTATGTAATATAATAGTAGGAGAAAAGGTCCTTGCTTTACATCTCTATTTTTAGGAAAGCTTTTTAGCATTTCTCCATTGCACATAATATTAGCATTTTGTTTTAAATACTTTTTATTGTATTAAAACTGGTCATTTTATGCCTATTTTTATGGCATGAATGAGTATTATATTTTGTTGAAGGTTTTTTTTCCCTCGACATATAATGATATAATCATAAGGTTTATGGTATTTTGACTTCAATAAAGTTAGTTATGTTAATTATTTTCCTAAATTTACATCTCTGGAATATATCCACTTTGGTCACAGGAATACTTTTTTTTTCTTCCTCTGGATATATTGCTATAGTCTTTTGGATAGAATTTTATTTAAAAATTTTATACCAATATTCATTAGTGATATTGGTCTTTAGTTTTCTTTCTTTGCTTTATCCTTACCAGGTTTAAGTATAAGGATGTTTGTCAATCAATAAGAAAGCATTTATAAGATGCTATCTCTGTGTTAGGAACTGTTCAAGGAACTGAGGATAGGAAGACAAAAAATAAAAAAATAAATAATTCTAGCAATCAAGGAGTTTACATTCTGTAAGGGGGAGATACACTAATATATTTTACAGAATATTTTCTGAATAAAAAAAGTAATTTGGTAGAATTTATTTTTCCATTTGTGTAGAATTAGTTACTCTTAAAATGTTTGATAGGATTTATCCACTAATGCATTTGGACCAGAGGAGCCCCCCTTCCCCCGCCTCCCCAGTAGCTCATTTATGATTTCTTCAATTTTATTTTATGTGAGTAGTTTAAGATCTTTGTTTCATGTTCTGTTAATTTGGATAGTTTATAATTCTATAGGTAAGTTTCCATTTATTTTCCATTTTTGGCTTTGGAGCATATAAGTGTGTATTGTTGATTCTGGTCATTCTTTTTCTTCTCTGTTATAATGTAACCTTGTTCTTCATTTTGGTAATTTGATTTTTTCCATTTTTATTCTTATCAGGTTTGCAAAAACGTTTATTAATTCTGTTAGTATTTTCAGAGAATAAGCTTTAAGTTTCATCATTTCTACATTTGATTTATCTACTTTTCAAAGTTTTCAATTTTGTGCTTACCTTGTTTATTTTTTATATATTTTAAGTTACATACTCAATTTCTTCTTTTTGTTCCTATTTTATTAATGTATGTCTTCAAAGATATACTTTTTTTCTCTAAGAACAGCTTTACTTTCATCTCAGAAATTTTGAGAGGTGCTCTTACTGTTATAATTTTTTTTTTACATAACCTTTGTGTTCCTCATTCTTTCCTTGATTCACTCATTATGCAGGATGTCCTTATTAAATCTCCACTTGGGGCTGTATCTTTTGTTTACATTCTCTGTATTAATTACTATTTGGTTGCATTATTGTCCATAAGGATTTGATGAATATTTCTCATTTTAACATTCATTTATAATTTCTCTATATCTGTATTCCCCTCTCTTTTCAGTCATTGATTTGTTATTATTATTATTTTTTTGATTACACTACTTTGATGCTAGTTTATTTCCATTGGAGCTCCCTTATTCCTGTTTACCTGTCCTATCCTAAGTTCCTTGAATAGGCTTAAATTGTTCTTTTTTTAAATTTTTTTTAAAATTTTTATCATTTTCCCCATCTTTTGGCCATTTTCAGTCACCATCTAGTTTAAAATGTCTTGGCTTCTTCTCTCCTCTAATCTCTTAACATTTTTGTTTTTACAGTACTCTTTTCTTTGAATTCAGACACTTTAAATTATGCTTAGATTTGCAGAATATATTACTTTGGGGTGCAGTTTGAGTTCCATTGCTTTTTGGAATAAGCTATTTTGTTCTCTTTGATTTCTTATGACTAAGTAATTAAAGGTTATTCAAACTAAGGTGAGGGTTTTGTTTGTTTTGCATCTGAAGATTTTTCCCTTGGCTGCATGTGCAATTTATTTGTTGTTGGAATTACGACATTTAACTACTACATGACTTAGTATTTCAAACATTTTTTCCCCGGTAACAATCTGTGAATTAAATTATTTAGTACTTTGTTATTTATAATTTTTAAAAAAAGGTCTGAACAGTTTTCTTGTGTTATTTCCTGAACTACACTATTCAGGGTTTTTTATATCATATTATTCTGGGAGATAGTGATCCTCAAGTTAATTCTACTCCTACTGTCTTAAAGGTTAGTTTCTTTGCATTGTAAAGCATTCATGTATTCCTTAACTTTGTTGCCTTTTGCTTCTTTTCCACCAAAGTTTCATTCACTTTTATATTTTTGTGTTCCAAATCTTTTATTCTCTCTCAAACAGAATCTACTTTGGTGAAAATTTCCACAGTGTAGTCAATGTTTTTTCTGCCTTTGTAGTTTTGAACTCAGCATTGAGAAGGGTGATTCTCAACTTGATCTCATTCCTAATTTTTTTTTTCCCAATGTTCTCTCTGGAATTTCTTACTCTTCTTCCATGGTCTTTGGGAAATCCTCAGGATTCTTACTTTCACTGGTTTTACTTCATAATATAAGTGTTCAATGTGCCCTGTACTTTCCTTTTTTTCATTTTTACTTAGCCTCTCTGTTGGCTTCTCTGTGAGCTAGATTTTTACTGAGGCATTCTCCTTTAGCACTTTTGGCTTTCCACTCCTTCCTTTTATTCCTAGTGACTTGTCTATGTTTTTTTCCCCCCTCATTCTGTGACCCTTCCATATCTTCTACTATTGCATATATCTATCTCAAAGGTGGGCATTTTCAGCCTCCCCACTTTAGCAACTGTGGAGGCCCTGCTTGTTTGTTTTTTTTTTTCCTAGAGTAACTTCTCTGTGGAAAGGACTGAGCCTAGTGAATTTCTATTCTCTTTTTCCTCTGACAAAGAATCTCTTTTCCCTCTTAAATTGGCTCTCTACCATGCTATCTGCTATCTATGTCTTCCTCTTCTGTTCTAGGTGATTTTTTTTTTCTTTCTTTCCATGGTCTGTACTGAATCAGTATCTGATGCCTCTACTGGGAAAAAGTGAGATTTTAGTTAAGTCATTGTCAAGGTGGGACCCTGAAGCATAAGCCAAGGATGTAGCTCATGCTGGCTATGTCTGTGTCATGGAGAGCTGGAAGGTGAGAACTCTTAAAGGATGTTCTAAGTATTTAAGATCTCTGATGTTATTTTCAAAGTCTTATTTAAACTTGTTTAGAATTTTCAGCTTCTTTCATTGTAGATTCAGCTTCAGTTACTCTATATCTCACATATGATTTCTTTTTCTGAAAATTATTTAATTTTGGGAATGTTTGGGGAAAAAATACTCAGCCATCTTGCTGATCACTTGATTTCTTAATGATGTCCTGCATTTGTTACATAGCTTTTGCTTTTAGAGTCATGATTGTCTCTTCTTAAACAAAAAATCACAGAATTAGAATTACTGAATTTGAGAGTTGGAAAGGATTTCAGCTGCCTGTTAATCTAAGCCATATCTAATTGGAATCCCAAGTATAACATATCCCAAAAGTGGTGGCCTTTGTTGAAGATCTCCCACAAGAAGCTCATTATCAGAGTTGTCATTAGTGTCACATCACTGGATCTGACTATTCTTTCTCTCCAGTTAGAATACGGTAGAGACTGAAGCTATATTTGATAAGAATTTAATGTGAACTACAATGTATCTTGTAAGGGAAGGTACAAGACATCTCTAGGAAAAAGTTAAAAGCACTGGAAGCTTTTGTCTGTCTT